ACCTACATGCCGACCCCCCCAGCCCCACCTGCTCCCAACATCCCCCCAAAACCCTGCATCCCGACCCCCCCAGCCCCACCTGCTCCCAACATCCCCCCTAAAACCCTGCATCTCAGCCCCCCCAGCCCCACCTGCTCCCAACATCCCCCCCTAAAACCCTACATCCTGACCCCCCAGCCCCACCTGCTTCCAACATCCCCCCTAAAACCCTACATCCCAACCCCCCAGGCCCACCTGCTCCCAACATCCTCCCTAAACCTACATCCCGACCCCCCAGGCTCACCTGCTCCCAACATCCCCCCAAAACCTACATCCTGACCCCCAAGCCCCACCTGCTCCCAACACCCCCCCTAAAATCCTTCATCCCCACCAGCCCCACCTGCTCCCAACATCCCCTCAAAACCCTACATCCCGGCCCCCAGCCCCACCTGCTCCCAACATCCCCCCCAAAACCCTGCATCCCAGCCCCCCTGGTACAACACAGGCCATAGGACTTCCCTGAATTCCTGTGTGAACTAGACCAGAGCTTTTAGAAAAACATCCTGTCTTGATTTAACAATTACCTGTGATGGAGAATCCACCATGACCCTTGGTAAATTATTCCAGTAGTTCATTACCCTCACTGTTAAATATGTGTCTCATTTCCAATCTGAATTTGACTAGGTTCCACTTCCAGCCATTGGATCTTGCTATAAATAGGAGTTTTCCTTCCTCGTTGGCCTTTGAAATAAAGCCTGATTGTCTTTTTATTTTTGAACCCAGCAGATGAAGGGAAATAAGAATTACCGCCCAAAGGGGAGTCATGAAAACTGGCATCAGTGCCTTTGTAGGCTCAGAAGCTCCCCTGAACCTCGGCAGGCCAAGAAAATTGGAGGACATGGCAAGAAAGACCCCAGATGATCGCTCTTCTTGTGCGTGAGCTTCCTGCCAGCTCAGCCCCGAGAAACCGGACGATGGAGAAGCTGACGGTTATTAAGGTGGAAGTAGAAACTCTCCTCAAGCAACCCCGGGAGAAGATGTACACTTGCACGATCTGCGGGGACAGCTTTAATCACAAGGGCGTCCTAGCCACGCACCAGAAGACCCACAAGGAGGAGATGCTGGTGGAGAACCAGGAGCAGGAGGGAAGTGCCGTCACAGCAGGAAAGCAAACAAGCCAGCAAGCCAGCAGAAGGGCAGAGGAGGCCAGCCACGAAGGCGTGAACCAGCAGAGAGATCTCTCGGCGCAGAAGGAATCCTTACAGAAAGCAAAGCCCTACTCTTGCACCGACTGTGAGAAGAGCTTCAAGATGAAGGTGGACCTCACCAAGCACCTCAGGACCCACACAGGGGAGAGGCCTTTCCCGTGCATGGAGTGTGGGAAGAGGTTCATCACCAAGTCACAGCTGAAGGAGCACCAGAGGATCCACACCGGGGAGCGACCTTACCAGTGCTCCGAGTGCGGGAAATGCTTCACGCAGAAGTCACAGCTCATTGTTCACCGGAGGATCCACACTGGCGAGAAGCCCTACAAGTGCAGCAGCTGCCAGAAGAGCTTTGTGGACAAGTCGCAGCTGGTCGCCCACCACCGTATCCACACAGGTGACCGCCCCTTCAAGTGCGGGTTGTGCGGCAGGGGTTTCCGCCAGAAGATCACCCTCATTAAACACCAGCGGGTCCACACCGGGGAGGGGGCGCGGCGGCATGGCGGGCCCCATACTGGCAACGCCTCGCAGCTCATCGTTCCCGAGTCGACGCCGGACGGGGAGAAGATATTCCGATGCGGCACGTGTGGAAAGGAGTTCAAGAAGAAGTCGATCCTGGTGACCCACCAGAGGATCCACACCGGGGAGGAACCCTACCATTGCGCCGAGTGCGGGAAGCGCTTCCGGCAGAAGATCCACCTGATCCGCCATCAGAGGACCCACACCAGGGGGGAGGCCCACGTCTGTGTCGAGTGCGGGGACGGCTTCAGCAGCAAGGGGCAGCTGCTGAGGCACCAGCGGTGCCAGCACCAGAGCGAGGGACCCCACACGTGTCCCGAGTGTGGGAGAAGCTTTAGCCAGAAGGTAGGCCTCATGGCGCACCAGAGAGTCCATGAGAGGGAGAAGGGAGATGGGAGCATGGCCGCCACTGAGGGGAGCCCTGGTGAGGCGGCAGACGGGAGGCTGCCTGCCAAAAACGGCAAAGGCAGCAGCCATCCGGGGGACCTGACGGCGCCTCGTAAGAGCCAGGTCTATACCTGCACCCAGTGTGGCAAGATGTTCACCAAGAAAGGGAACTTTGCCAACCACCAGCGGGCCCACACGGAGGAACGGGCGCACCGGTGTGGCGTCTGCGGCAAGAAGTTCACCAAGAGGGGGGAGCTGACCAAGCACGAGCGGATCCACACGGGCGAGAGGCCGTACGTCTGCGGCGACTGCGGCAAGCGCTTCACCCAGCGCACCCAGCTGGTCACCCACCAGCGCATCCACACCGGCGAGAAGCCCTACCCCTGCGCCGACTGTGGCAAGCGCTTCATCGACAAGTCCCGGCTGACGGTGCACCGGCGTATCCACACCGGCGACCGGCCCTTCCAGTGCGCCGCCTGTGGCAAGGGCTTCCGCCAGAAGATTGCCCTCATCAAGCACCACCGAGTCCACGAGAGGGGCCGTCCGGATGGGGAGGTCTCGGGGGGGAAGGAGCACAAATGCCCCCAGTGCGGCAAAGGCTTTGGCACCAAGGAGAACCTGGCCAGCCACCAGCGGCTCCACGCCACCGAGAGGCCCTTCAAGTGCGGCGAGTGTGGGAAGAGCTTCACGCAGAAAGCCCAGCTGGTGGTGCACCAGCGCATCCACACCGGGGAGCGCCCCTTCCGCTGCACCGACTGCCACAAGGGCTTCATCGACAAGTCCCGGCTCATTGTCCACCGCCGGATCCACACCGGCGAGCGGCCCTTCAAGTGCACGGCCTGCGGGAGGGCCTTCACCCAGAAAATCGCCCTGACCACCCACCAGAGAGTCCACATGAGGGAGCACGAGGCCGCCCGGGAGCCCAACAAATACGCCAAGCGCGGGGAGAACGACGCGGGCAAGGCCGAGCCAGGCGAGGAGTGGCCCTTCCCCTGCAACGTGTGTGGCCGGGGCTTCCGCAAGGAGATAGCCCTCATCACCCACCAGCGGGTCCACACCAAGTACGAACCCAACAGGTGCAGCAAGTGCGGCCAGGTCTTCCCTGACAAGGCCCAGCTGCTCCTGCATCAGCCCTCCCACGCGGAGGACCGGCCCTTTAAATGCAACACCTGCGGAAAAGACTTCAAGCGGAAAGAGATCCTGATCACCCACCAGAGAATCCACACGGGAGAGGTGCCTTTCAAATGCACCGAGTGCGGGAAAAGCTTCTCCCAGAAAGCCAACCTCATGAAACACCAGCTCACCCACACCCGGAGGGGCCCCTTCATCTGCTCTGAGTGTGGGCAGAGCTACACCACCTTGGGGCATTTTAAAAGGCACCAGAGGAACCATCTGAGAAAGCGGGAGGGGAAAGACTTGGCAGAGGAGCAGGACGCAGACGGGCTGCCGGAGACGGGCGCGCACAACGGGCCCATCATCGTGGTCAAGACAGAAGTCAATACAGACGACTATGAGGTCCTGCAGGTCCCATGACACCGCCCTCAGCAGGGAGCGGTGCGTGTGTGTAAAGGGATCCTCCAGAGGCAATGCAGGAGTAAGGGCCCTGGTGCTGCCAAGCCCTAGCGTTCAAAGAATCCCGGATCAAGCTGCCCCCTCCGGTCATGAGATTGGCTAAAATGTCATGAGATTTGAGAAAAAATAATACATGTGGGGTTCTTTTTATGAGCTGTTGGGGGTCACGTTTTCAAGGTTTTCTCTGCAACCACAGGGGCTAGAAACTTACTTTTTCCAATGAAATCTGTGATTTTGGATGTCTTCACGTGACTCCTGGAGCTGGGGCTTTAAGGAAAAACACCAAATATCCCAAGAGTTGGCAACCCTGACTCTTCCGTAGATCAGTATCTTAGCACTCAGCAGCACCAAATAGCAATATTAAGCCAGCTGACCTGGGTTGCTGGTGGTCCATGGGAGAGCATCAGCGATTCACTGCAGTGTAAAACGTCACCGGTCATCATTCCATACAACAGTAAGAGAGGCAGACATCATCACAGGCCTCCATGTGGATGGACCGGTGGGCCCATGCAGAGCCCCGTTGAAGTCAATAGGCTCACCATTGGGATGCAGACATCCACTTGTATGGAAGGGTTAGCTGGATCAGGGCCAATGTACCTAGAAAGAGAGCACCTACTTGAAGCAGAGATAGGTCCAGATCCTCAAAGGTATTTAGGTGCCTAATTCCCATTGGCATCCACAGGGAGTTAGATGCCTAAATACCTTTGAGGATCTGGGCCATAGTGTTTACTTCAAAGTCTGATCTTTTTTGATGATCACGCTTTAAAATACGCTCACATACGGTTTTATTTCGCTATGCAATCACCAGTTTTATTGTTTCAATACAGGACATTCACTGCAAAAGCACCATTCTGGTTGAGGGTTGAAACACACAGGTTGCCTGATTCACGGCTACATTAGTCCAGTTCAAATCTGCTGATTCCAGTGGTGTAAAACTGGAGGAACGGAGCGGGAAATCACGCCCAAGCTAGTTCCGGTTTTGCTGTCAGCTCCTCAGCTGCTGCACATTGGCAGAGCTCAGCTGAAGTCACTGGAAGTACCCCAACTTGCATCAGCTGAGAAGCTGGTCCGGGATTCCCACACGAAGCATTTCTCCCGCACTCTTGTATCTGTATATTCCAGCAGTTCAGTGTCCAGGAGCCCAGAGTATGACATGTAGACAAGGGGATGACATTAGGAAGAAACTATAACTTTGACTATCCTCTCTGGTTTGCGTTTAAATTCTTAACTATAGCATTGCCCTGGCCAAAGGCCCTTCCCCCTCTGTAGAAAGTCTATATGAGAGGAAAACATGGGCCATGATCCTGAGAACCTGTAACTCCCATGGCTTCCCAACAGTGTGATCCAGGAGGACTTGTGTCCCAAGCCTGCCGGTCCCAGGGCATTTGCAGGGCGGGGTTGTCTACCTCTTCCCCTTCACTCCTTGCTCACTGGCTGTAAGTCTCGCTAAGGCCTTATACGGCTATGGGTTCCCAGCTCCCCTGGGTTAAAGCTGCTGGGATTGCTATGTAACGTGGCTCTCTCCTGACTCCGCCCTGCGCAACCCCATGAAAAGCCACTGAGCCCCAGTCACATGGAGGCTCGGGGATGAAGAGAGCAATGGCAGCTGTAGGGGCGGCCAAGCACTGCAGCTCCATCCATCCCATCTGCCCCCGGGCGGCCGGGAGGATGGCAGGGCTCAGCCTTGGTTTGGAATGAACGTCAGAAGCATTTCATCCATACCTGCCGCCTTCTGCTTTCTCTCCTCTTCCCCAGCAGAGTCAGGCTTTGCATTACAGACGGGAGCTTGGTTCCTCCAGGGTACGTCTCCACTGCGGCAGGGAGCGAGCCGCCCAGCCCGGGGAGACGGCCTTGGGTTAGCAGGGCTCGCGCTAGCATGCTACATAATAGCTGTGTGGCCATTATGGCACCGGCAGAGGCTCAGGCGAGCCATGCGGTCTCCTAGCCTGAGCCTCCACCCGGGGCCACAACATCCACCCTGCTGTGTTTGAGTGTGCCAGCCCAAGGTGCCCCAGACTCCTTGCTGCAGCGGAGACATGCCCGAAGAGTTCACGGATCCCTCCTGGGGCCTCCCTTCCTGACGTCAGCATGCTCCATTTGCGACAACAGAGACGCATGGGAGTTCGAGGTGGAAAAGCCTCATTCGGTCATTTCCCTTCCAATGCAGGATTCCCAACTTTTGTCTAGGGTGACCAGATGTCCCATTTTATAGGGACAGTCCCAATTTGGGGGTCTTTTTCTTATATAGGCTCCTATTATGCCCCACCCCCTGTTCCCATTTTTCACATTTGCTGTCTGGTCACCCTACTTTTGTCCAGTCCAGTTTTTAAATGTCCCAAAGGAAAACGGCTGCCCCGATTTCCCTGGGGAGACCGTTCCACAGCCTAATAGCTATTGAGAAAGTTCCCCTTATATTCATCCTAAATGTTCCCTTTCTTAGATTCCTTCCATTGCCCTGAATATCACACCAAGAATGAGGCCCAGGGTTTTACTGCACAGGGTCTGCTGAAATCCTGGTCTGGATCATGGAATATGGAAGTTCATCGCTGCTTGCAGGGAGTGCCAAGAGGAGCAGCATTAACTAAACAATGATGGAGGGTTTAATAAGTCTATGATTATCTGAATGCTGTGGACACCAAAGAGGGAGAGGAATGATTTAGGCTCTGATCCTGCAAACACTTTTACACATGCATAACTTTTAGCACATATATATGCCCATCGACTTCAACAGGACTCTTTGTATGCTTCAAGTTCAGCACGTTTAAGGGCCTTAATCATTTCCTCTCCCTCTTTGGTGTGCACGGCATTCAGATAGTCATAGACTTCTTGTGCCCTCTGTCGTGATTTAGCTCATGCTGCTCTTCTCTGAGCGCCCCCCACTCAGCAATCCATTCCCATATTGCAGAATCCAGACCAGGACGTAGGCACACCCTGTGGGGTAAAACTGAGCAGTACAAATTGGGGTCCAGAGCTGACCAAAACAAAAACGGCAAAACTTTAACTCTTTTGTTTTGCTTTTTTTCCAAAACTGACTCATTTTCTCGGTTTTGGAAATTTCCTCCAACCTTTTTTTTAATTGACTCCCCCCCAAAAAAAATTTTTAGAACGTGGAAGTAGAAAATGTTTGGTTTAGGAAAAACTCCACCTGTGATTAACTCAAGCACTCAAAATTGGTGCTGAACACGTAAAGAGTAAACAAAAATGAATACATGGTAAAAAATAATTGGAAAAAAAGGAACAATGCTGAAAAATCAAGCTGTTTACCAATATTTCGGGGGGGGGGGGATTCCCTAAAAGGTAATTTTTTTTGGTCCAGCATATTCTTTGTTCCACATTTTTTGGCCAGCTCTCCTGTGTTTCTCAGTCTGCGAGCTAGAGAACAACACTGACCTCAGTAAACAATCCCACGTTTACTACACCTGAGTCCTAGCTCCTGAGCTACACGGCCCTTCGAATAAGTTATCCAGCCAATGCAACCCTTTATTCGGTGTCTCGTTTTCAAACTGCTCCTGTTTTCTGACACTCAGTCTGCAGCTTGCAAGCATGCCCCAATGGATATGAACAAATGTAAGTCATGGTGAGTCTGGGAACGGTACATTCGGTGATGTGTGATTGGTCACCTAAATCACATGGCATTGTTTCTATCCCCGACTGGATGATTAGCTTCTCAGACAGGAGAACAACAAATGAAATAGCCTATGTTGTTTGCAGGCAACTATGCAAATAAGGACTAGAAATTCCTCAAACATCCATGCCAACAAAAACCCATGCAAAACTTCAAGAATAACCGGTAATAAGGAGCATGACCATGGCCCAGCCCAAAACTCTTTGGAAGCTGACTGGACATTCATTAACTCTGTTTTGGCAATTGTCAAGTCAGCTCTCCAGAAAAGTGTGACTTCAGAGGGGGATCTGGTAATGTGAGCAGATGAATTTTTGAGAGAACAAAAGATCCTGTTTTCTTGCAAATACTCCTAGGAATAAAAATAAAATAGAACAGAACTTTTAAAACTGATGCCTGCAGTAGTCAAATGCTCACAGTTTTCTGTGTGACATCTTGGCTCTGTAAAGCCGTATTGGCCAGTGCAACCTGCAAATGAGAGAACAGTAGGAAAGCGTTTGAGAGTGAGAGGGGAAATGGGTTGGGACGGGATCCAGAGAAGGAGCTTTCGTAAACAGGCCAGCAAAACAAAAAATGTACCACTCCTGCTGAATAGCATCAGAACAGAGCAACCTTTCAGCTTCAACTAGACTCCCCAGACACTGAGGAGAGATGAACTGGAACGGTTCAAAACAAACACCACTTGTATCAGTTGCTTTTCTTGATCTGTTTAAAAGGACAGCAGTACCTTAAGGTGCCTTGACTCATAACAGTGGCCCGCTTGTATCTCACAGGTTCGCCTTTCCAATCAAGGTTTGTAGTAAGGACCATCCAACAATTTTGCACAAGGAGGATAGCTTCCTATTTATACGTAACCACCAGTCTGAAGTGAAGCCAGAGCTTAAGGAAGAAGTGGAACAGGAAGTCAGCGCTGCAAGAGGCAAGGATCTGTTTGCTTTGCAGTGTGCCGGGACCTACTCTGTATCTACCATCCCATTTTGATCCCTAGATGTCACTAGAGGTAGCTAGACCTCTTGAAGAAGAAGGGAAGCCCGTTGAGATTGAGAGATGTTTTGCAGAGAAGAGAGATTTGTGAAAAGGCCAGTACATACAGATGGGGATTTCAATTTCCCAGATATATTTTTACACTTTCTTTTTATTTATTATAATCCAGAATGTATTACTGCAGAATATTAATGAACTAGCAAGACCCATGGACCTCACCTGTTATCCACGTTGGGAACACGTGTGTTCTCTCAGCAACCTCCCATACAATGCATTGATCTTCTTTGCCAGTTTTCTTCGCTGGGCTTCTTTTATTTTCAAATTAATTTAATTCTTTCCGTTTATTATTGTTTTTTAATTCAATCCTTTCTGGCACATGCTGTGTTGTATGCAATGTGATCCTTATGCTTATCCACCTCCTTAGCTGAGATTTTTACTGTAATCCTCTCATTTTTGAGGTGTTTTGTTTTTATTTTTCTGAATAAAAAGCTTTACTGAACAAATAGATGCAATGTCCCTGTTGTACCTAAGTCATCCTTCCCTGAACAGAGGGGGGCAGTGGAGTTCAGGGGGTAAGAGCACAGAACTGGGGACCAGGACTCTGGCACACCTCTGAGCGGTATACCTCATTGAAGTCAGGGTGGAGTTCGCTGCAAGACTGGGGCCTTCCTGCCCTGACCCTGGGCAAACCACTCAGCCTTGCTGTGCCTCAGTTTACACATGTGTAAAATAGATCTGACATGTACCTCAGACACTATGGCAATAATCATAGAATATCAGGGTTGGAAGGGACCTCAGGAGGTTATCTAGTCCAACCCCTTGCTCAAAGCAGGACCAATCCCCAATTTTTGCCCCAGATCTCTAAATGGCCCCCTCAAGAATTGAACTCACAACCCTGAGCTATCGCTATCCCTCCCCCCTCCATAAGGCTGCTGTAGAGAGGCAAAGCATCATGTAATCACCAAGTATGATTATTTTAGCGGGAGCATGGGGTAGCTTCATCAGTGACCACTTGTCACGTGCTTTGAGATCCTTTGATGGAAGGCACTATAGAAATGCACTAGCCCAGACTCCAGTTTCCAACGAGGCAGCAGACGCTGCTTCAGAGGATGGTGCAAGAAATGCTGCCATGGACAAGTAGGAAATAACTGTTCATAGGACAAGACTCCTCCTAGCGCCAGCCAGTTAGGCCCTGATCTGCAACCTCCTCCAGGCAGGCAGAGCCCTCTGCCCTGTCCGCTCACACATCCAAGGCTTTAGCGACTGAGTTCTAGCCTTAAAGAGGAGGTGCAAACCTGTAGGGCTGCTGGCCTGTCTTCCCAGCCCTGGAGGAATAGCTCCACACCCACAGCCTGCTCAGGCCCCTCTTCAGGGCAATTTTATGCTTTAGACATAAAACTCACAGTGTAACACCAAGTCACAGCCACAGTGACGTGGCTCAGATTCAGCGACAAGCAAAAGTTTAGGTTCCCCAGAAAGAAATGTCTTGCTTTCCTAGGTTGTTTCAATCACCCGTCTCGGCCCTCCAGGTCTGCTACATTAACTAGTGTATCCGTTTTGATCTGATCTGACCCACCTGGGGCCTCCTAGCCCAGTGGCCTCCTGGGGGGCCATGAGCAGGTTTCAAGGGTCCACCAAGCAGGACCAGTGTTAGACTCACTGGGGTCCAGGTCAGAAAGCCTAAGCCCTGCTATGCAGGGCTGAAGCCCGGGGCCCTGAGCCCATCACTTGGGGCTAAAGCAGAAGCCCGAGCAACTTAGCTTCGTGGGATGCCCTGTGGCATGGGGCCCTGGGCAGTTGCCCTGCTTGCTATCCCTTACCGTCGGCCCTGGCTTTGATATGTAGAAAACAGTTGTTGTGGCACAGGTGGGCCATGGAGTTTTTATAGCATGGGGGGCAGGGGATCAGAAGGGAAAAGGTTGAGAACCCCTGTCCTAGCCCTTTGGACAGTCCTAGTCCCTCATCCTTTCATATTGATTCTAGACATCTTCTCCAGCCGCTACTGATGCGAACCCGCCACCTCCTCCTCAAAGGAAAACCCATCATGGGCATTCAGAATGCTCCCTGGCTAGGAGAGAGACAGAGCCCATTGAAGTCGATGGACAAGTGACAGAGGTCGAGGACCTGCTCCAATAGATTGATGAGGTAAAGGTTGTCTAAAAGTAATGAGCTCTACAGCTGAGTGTCATCCATGGAAAATACAACTGCCAGGCCCCATTACTGGTGTCAATACAAGCATTTAATCCACCCATTCTAACAAGCATCCTTGGGGTTTCCGGGTTCCACACACAGCAAAGGACTTCCTCTTTGTCTCCAAATTAGCAATCTGTCCACGGGGATCGCTTGTGTTCCCACTGTGACGCTGCCTAGATCCCGTGTGCCCTGTCGAACGGCACGGGCTCTGACCCAGCAACGCAGGGAGGGAAAAGGACGAGAACATGGAGGAAGTGAGGAGCTCTTCCAGATTAAATGCAATAACCCTAGAAGAGACATTCCAGCAGGCACCACAATGTCCCCTCTGTTTGCGACCTCGAGGGTGCCAGCAACAGGAATCAAACTGAAAAAGATGAGAGGTCCATGGAAAGGAAACTGGTCATGAAATGCTGGGAGATAAACTGTCCACAGTGTGAAAGAGCAGCTG